CGATCGAGTTTCATTTGGAGCATTTTCAGCCATCTGCACATGGAAATGCATTTGTAGACTGGTGGTCAACCATTCAGACAGGAGGGACGCTTACCTGGGGTGTGAGGGAGACTCGTTGAAGCTGAGGGAGACGTGGGGGTGGAGGAAAGGACTTTCAAGGTGGTGGCAGGACTTCCACTTGTGAGATTGGTGGAGGATGGAGTAGATGGTCCCAGGCTGGTCCTTTCTGAGTTAGAAGACAGAGGTCCGGTGGACGTAGCTTTTGAGGTGTGTCTATCTTGAGTAACTGAAGAGGAAGTTGAGGAGGAAGAGGTTCCCTGCCTCCCACTGGTGATCTCAGCCTTAGAACCTGTGGTCACTTCTGAAGAGCCGGTTGTGTCTCCAGAAAGGACACTCGTAGGCATGGAGGTCACTAGTGTTGAAGTAAGAAAAGGAAACCACGGGGAGGTCCTAATTGTCTCGGTTGTGAGAGGAGGAGAACTAGGATGCTTCTCACTCGTGGTTTCTGCTGGTGGGGTGGTGGAGATGGTGGTGAGTGGGCCTTCAGATGTCCTCTTGTCCAAGGGAGTTGGGGAAGGAGGACTGGAGTTCACCTCCTCTGTGGTGGAGGTCAATAGGCCTTCAGATGTCCTCTTGTTCTGGAGAGTTGGAGAAGGAGGGCTGGAGTTCACTTCCTTTGTGGTGGAGCTGAGGACAAGCAGGGTTGACTCTGCTGCGTGAGTGGTCCCTACTTCTGAAGGACTTCCAAAACCAATGCTGGTGATGGAGGTCCCTGCAAGGGATGAAGAAGGTGGAGAGACACCATGGGTGCCCACCATGGTCGACCCTTCAGGTGAGGAAGAGGAGGGCGGTGCTGTATCTCCTCCAGGAAGAGTTGTTTCTCCATTGGTGCTCCAGGGATGGGTCATGTCAGAGAGGACAGCCACGGAAGAAGGGAGGGATTCCGTGGTCTCTTCTGCTGGTGTGGTAGTCTTCATGCCACTAGTGGTGTCAGCCACAGATGAAAAAGGACGTGGCTTTGTCGGAGGAGAAGTTGGGGGCTTGGTTGTAGCTTCCCCTTAAAAGAAAAGAGAGAGTCACTTTTGGGTTGACCAACACTCATGTTGACCAACTCTTGGGTTGGTCAACAATTCATCAGTGGAAAGACCTGGCTTCAGAAGTTGTGGTTGCTCCATCACTGGAGGCTTTTAAGAAGAGACTGGACAGGCATTTGTCCGGAATGGTGGAAATTATATAGCTCTTTCCCTCACTCTTCCCATCTCTTCCTTTTCCCCCTCTCCCTCCCTCTCTCTTCCTCTCCCCTCCCTCTCTCTCTCTCTTCCTCTCCATCTCTCCCTCTCCCTCCTTCTCTCTTCCTCTCCCTCTCTTCCTCCCTCTGCTTCTCTTTCTCCCAATCTCTCCTTCACCTTCCCTCTCTCTCTCCCTTTCCCCATCTCTTTTTCTTTTCTTTTTTCCCTTCCTCCCCCACCTTCCCTCCCTCTCCATCTCTTCCTCTCCCCCTCCCTTTCCCTCCCTTTCCCTATCGCTTCCTCTCCCTCTCTCTCTCCTTCTCCTTCCCTTTCTTTCCCCGTCACTTCCTTTTCTTCTCTCCCCTCCTCTCCCCCTCCTTCTCTCTCTCTTCCTCTCCATCTGTTCCTTCCCTCTCCCCCTTCTCCTTCTCCCTCCCTCCCTTTCCCCATCTCTTCCTTTTCCACTCCCTTCCTCTTCCTCTCCATCTCTTCCTCTCCCCCTCCCTCTCTCTTCCTCTCCTTCCCCCCTCTCCTTCTCCTTCCCTCCCTCTCTCCCTTCCGTTTCCCGTCTCTTCCTTTTCCTCTCTCACTCTTCCTCTTCCCCTCCCTCTCTTCTTCCCCCCTCCCTCATCTCTTCCTTTTCCTCTCTCCTTCCCTTTCTCTCTTCCTCTCCCCCTTCCTCCCTTCCTCCCTCTCTCGCTTTTTCCAGGGATCTTAAAGGCACTTACCAGTAATCTTGGCAGTTTCCAGTAAGAGTAAAACGAACGCTGCTGGAAAATAACCAAGTGCCATTTCAGGCAGATTTTAAGACTTGTTCGGCTGCCCCCCAGGATCTCAACCTGACAATAAAAATAAAATAGAAAATGAAAGAACTCTTCAACCTGTAATGGATTGTTTTAAAAGCAGGTTTCCTGGTTGAGCCAATTGACAAGGCAGGGAGGGGTGTCCAAGGCTGGCCTGATTTTTTCCCCCACTCCTTCCGCTCTTGATGTTCTTTTTCATTCCTGCCCAAGATGAGATGAAGTTTGACCCATGATAGGTGTGGTTTCTTCAATCCCAGGATTGTCCTCCTCTTGCAGAACAGCCGAGGAGGGGCTGCAGAGCCCTGTGCAATGCAGGTGACATTGTTTTAAAGCTTTTGTGGGTCTGTTGTGTAATTCATACGAGATGGCATCACCAGGGGTGGCATTCAAATAATTTAACAACCGGTTCGCATAAACCGGTGCAAACCGGCTCAATCCCACATTACACCACGCTTGGCTATGTTCATCTCTCATACCTGGTCCAATCAGTGAAACTACACACAATCCTCAGCTAACAACCATTCATTTAGCGAACGTCCAAAGTTACGACAGCTCTGAAAAAGGTGACTTCTGGCCAGTCCTCGCACTTATGACTGTCCCAAGTTTGGGAACTTGGGAACCGGTGCCCATCCCAGGATCGCGTGATCACCATTTGCGACTTTCCCAGCTGGGCTTCCGGCAAGCAAAGTCAACGGAGGAAGCCAGCTTCGCTTAACGACCATGTGATTCGCTTAACAACTGCAGTGATTTGTTTAACAATCGTGACCAAAAAAGGTTATAAAATCAGGTGTGAGTCACTTAAAAACGGCCTTGCTCAACAACAGAAATGTTGGTCCCAATTGTGTGTGTAAGTCAAGGAGACAAGAAATGATCTTTCCCTCCCTCCCTCCTTCTCCCCCTCCTTCTCTCTCTCCCTCTCAATTTCTCTTTCCTCTTTCTCTCTCCATCTTTCTCTCTCCCTCTTTCTCTCTCCCTCCCTCCCTCTCTTTCTCTCTCTCCCTCCCTCTCTCTCACTTTCTTTCCTTTTTCTTTCTCCATCTTTCTGTCTTTCTCCCTCCCTCTCTTTCTCTCTCCCTCTCTCTCTCCCTCTCTTTCTCTCTCCCTCTTTCTCTCTCTCTCCCTCCCTCTCTCCCTCCCTCTCCATTTTTCTCTCTCTCCCTTCCTCCCTCTTTCTCTCCATCTCTCTTTCTCTCCCTCCCTCCCTTTCTCTCTCCGTTTCTCCCCCCCTCTTTCTCTCCCTCTTTCTCTCTCCCTGTTTCTTTCCCCCTTCTCTCTTTCTCTCTCCTTCCCTCTCTTTGTCTCCCCCTCCCTCTTTCTGTCTCTCCCCTCTCCCTTTTTCTCTTCCTCCCTCTCTTTCTCTCTCTCTCCCTCTATTTCTCTCCCTCCCCTCCCTCTCTCTCCCTCCCCCACTCTTTCTCTGCAACAATTTTCTCTTTCAGAATCTCGGACATTTTACATCTTTTGAATTCACATGTTACATGCAAGAACTTCAGAATCCGCTGATAAACACAGCATTCCCACAACACCCTGAACGAGTAACTGAATTTTCTGGATTCGTACAATACATGGAATCATAAACTAACCACGTACGATGGGTTCCTGCAACCAAAGGGCTGCAAATAAAGAAATAAAAACCCTAGTCAAAGTTAACACTCACCAAGCCAAAAGGGTTGTGTGAATGCACCTCCTTTTTTTTTTTAACCTGAGCTGGTGAAAATGTTGCTTGTATAGATGGAAACCCTCTCTCCCATGCAGGTATGAAGAAAATAAAACTATTTTTTTCTCAGCAGACAAAGGGTTGGCAGGAATGCTACAGTGGTAGAACCCTGCACTGGGAAAGTGGGTTGGACTAGATGACCTCTGATGGTGGCTTTGAATCTTTCCATTCCAAGATTCTATTATTTTTGGCTGTTAAATTACTAAGGGGATCAAGGCTGGGGTTTCCCCTCCTTGGTTCATTTTCAGAGTCTCACTTCCTTCTGCTGCCTTCCGTGTTCATGAATAAAAACTCTTTTGATTAAAAAGAAATCCTGGTGTTTCCTCATTCCAGCACTTGATGGGGCTTTTTGATTTTAGTGGTCACTGGGCCACTAAAAGTGGGAAAGTTTGCTTTTCAATCCCCAATCTCCCAAATGACAAGCCCAGGTTCGATTCCCAGTAAGGGTATGGCTAGCTGATGAGAGCTAAATAGCTTGAAATAGATCTATACTAGTCTCCCTTTATTTATTTATCAGCACAAATGCAACACACACACACACACACATTCTTTTCTCTGGTCTATGCCAAATTGGTGCCAAACTAGCACACTTACCAGCCTCCTAAGAGGGGGACACGGTGACTCAGAGGGACGTGGTGGCTCAGTGGCTAAGACACTGAGCTTGTCGATCAGAAAGATCGGCGGTTTGAATCCCTAGCACCGTGTAACGGGGGGAGCTCCCGTTACTTGTACCAGCTTCTGCCAACCTAGCAGTTCGAAAGCACGTAAAAAAATTCAAGTAGAACTAATAGGAATCACCAGCAGAGTGATCGGAAAGCAACAGGAAAAATTCAGAAGAAAAAGATATGACTTACAAAAAGAAGAATTGTACCAAAGAGATGGTTTGCACCCATCCAAGAAAGGGACTGAGTTACTTGGCATTAAATTCACAGATTTTCTGGATAAACANAAACTAGCCATTTCTATAACAACAAATCTATTTAACGAGTAAAACCCAAAATCAAAGTTTCATTTTGTTTTATTGTTAAAAACAAATATATCCATCCATACATATATGCACAGACGTACAAAACTTTGTGCAGCTTACACTCCAGCAAAAAAATTCCTCTATACTGTATGTATAATTATAAAAAACAAGAACAACCAAAGTCTATGGAGATTCTCAGTCATCCAGGTCATGGTTGTCCCAAAGCTGCGTTTTCAAGAGGCAACTGGACTTTCTGGTTTTTCTTTGAAGACATTTCGCTTCTCATCGAAGAAGCTTCTTCAGCTCTCAAAAAGCTTCTTGGATGAGAAGCAAAATATATTCAAACAAAAACGAGAAAGTCCAGTTGCCTCTTGAAAAAGCACTTTTGTGACAACCATGACTGGATGGCTGAGAATCTCCATGGACATATACCCAGACTAGGTAACGTCATAAGTGCCAGCAGTGGTGATGTGACTTAGTTTGGGTAATGAAACATCTGCAAGAAGACAAGCAAGCTCAGAGAGCACTAAGAATCTCTCAAATTGTATTTTTCTTCTAGAATTCCCTTGGAGCATGCTTATCATGCTAAGTTATGCTACTTCCTGATAGGCTGCTAACAATAACTTCATGTAGGGATTGTTCTAAAGAAGCCTGTGAAACTGGCAGCCCATGTGCTGAATGTGTCACATGCTGGCTTTGTGTTACACCTACCCTGGCTCCACAACGGCAAAAAACGTCATGATGCAACATTATATGTCACATGATTTTATCAAGTTTGACACCCATGTTCTAGAAAGATTGAAATCATAGACATATGTTGCTTGCTGGATCAATGACATTGTCATTGTTGGCATTCATTTGTCTTCAGAATCAATACAAGTGATGAGAGATTCCTCAACAACTTCTCAGTGAATTATCAGTCAGGGGTTTGGAGCTCTTCCTGTTTTCAAAGATAATTCCTCAGAAAGCAGGCCTTAATTCCATTAGGCATCTCTGCTTGGGAGAGTTTTGAGGGGAGAGAAGTTGAAAACCATCCCTCAGCTTGTGTGTTAATAAGAAAGAACTTCTTCTACTTCAGGAAGAGGTGGGGTACTCCAATGCTCTGTTTTAGGTCCAGTACTCTTCAAGATCTTCATCAAAGATTTGGATGAGGGTACAGATGGAGAACTCATCAAATTTGCAGATACACCAAGCTAGAAGGAATAGCCAACACTCCAGGAGATAGGCTTAAAATACAGAAGGCTATTGATAGACTTGAACAATGGGCACTATCTAACAAAATGAAATTCAGTGATGAAAAAAGCAAGGTTCTACATTTAGGCAATAAAAACAAAATGCACAGGTGCAGTATATGTGGTACCATGCTCAACAGTAGTATCTGTGAAAGGGATCTTGGAGTCCTAGTGGACAACCATTTAAATATGAGCCAGCAGTGTGCAGCAGCTGCCAAAAAAGCC